GATTTTTTCCCACGACCCGTACCCGTACGTGTGCACCAAACACAGCAGCAACCGGTCCTCTTCTTCTGTGAATAATTTCCCCCCTGTATAGAATACCAAGGCAACATTATATATATATATATATATATATCGAGCGATTATTCACTACATAACAATTCAAGCTATAGTATATTATCGAAAGGTCGTTCGCTCAACAACAATGAAACCTGTATAGAATACCAATACAGCATTATATATGTATATCGAACGATTCGTCACTACATAACAATTAAAGCTATTGTATATATATATATATACATGTATGTTGAATGTTCACTCGCTCAACAAGACTAATCAAAGCTACAGTGGAAAACAAATATAATAATAAAAATCTGTATTGCCATCTAAACTTGCAAAAGTAAACAATCATAAAAAAGTAATCACAAAATTCCCAGTCTATGTCCACCCTGCTATCGATCCCATCAAAGAATATTTATAGATATTTATTACGTTTATACATATTTATTGGCAACGTACCTTTGCCTTGGTAATTGATCACCAAATCGTCGTACGGGTTGGCATAACGCTTGATTTTCAGGGCCGTTTGGTCGGCCAGCCGTTGGATTTCAAGCAACTTGGACTCGCCCTTTTCAATCGACTTGCGGATTTTGTCCCAGTCAGTCAGTTCCGACCCGCGGGTGAAAAATGTGTCGGCATATCGCGCCACTTCGTCGTACGGTTTGACCATTTCCCGCGCAATCGCGGCAAGATTCGATCGACCGTATCTACACATAAGACAAACCACGATAGAACCATATAAGACCACGATAGAACCGATCGCCGTACCGGGCCAGGAGCTTTACAAACAGGAAAAAGTGGGGTTTGTTCCAGTCGCCAAACGCCGTTTGGATCAAATGTTCCTTTTCAGCTTGCAGCGCAGGACTCAAATACATCGACGTCGAGTCAACCGCGTCGCCGCTGGCTTTGGCCAGTTCGTACGCCGACACTTCGATGTCGTGGATTTCCGTCATGCGACGTCGGTTGTAAAACTGCCATTCGTCCATGCGCGGCAGTCTACCAACCAACCGTGTCAAAACGGAAGACTCTTGTCATATGTGTGATGTGTATAGTAATACTATATTTACTATGTGATGTGTATAGTAAATATAGGGAGCCGACATGGGAAAAATGAATGAACCTATAAACATCATACTTGGTAGACAATGGATGACTGCCAAAAATCTTGCAAACCTAATTTTTCTTTTGTAATAATAAAATAAAACCCTCCACAAAAGTGTACGATGCGAAGTCGAAAAATCAACCTTCGCAGGTCTGATACCAAAATATATGCAAATGTATGTATACATCAAAGCCTCTATAAATTGATATTTCCAGAACGACATGAGTTTGGGTTTGCCCCAAAATGCTTCTATCCGGAAGAATTTGACGAGTTTATTTTCGTTTTGCGAGGTTTTTGGCAGTCATTCAATAATTTGTAGTGTGTTTATTGTACACTGGAGCAATACATGGATGGATGAATCGATATAGTCACAATGAAATGTATACAAGTATCATGGACAGAAAAACGAATTTTGGCCAATCAGATTGCACGAAACCAGGATCGAATTAGTGTGTGAAAAGTCCATTAGTGTGAGACCAGGCACCACAGCACACGTTTTTTACATGCGATCGATTGGTTTGGCGAAACATCAGCACAAATAAGTGGACATTTTGAGTCAAAGGACAATAGAATCATGGAAAACCATACAGAATATAACGACACCACATAACCATCGTCAATATCTCAAAAGTGTCGTCGTGTACGCCCCTTTTATAGCGCATATTTCACCCCAAATCAAGGCTTTCCACACAAACCATCCATCCATGCACAGCAGTCCAAAGCCACACAAAAATCCAAATATTGTGGTCTTTCGAGTGAAATTTCATTGTGACGTGGTTTCTTGTTGGAATTTAAATCGATTTGATTGGCTACTTCAGATGAGCTCAAAATTATTAGCCAATCAAAGCCTTCTCAGTGAAATTTAACCAATATATCAGATCGATTGTGGATCGGTTTCGTCGGCGTGATTCGATTGCACAACCCCTCCCCAAATTTGTACTATCAAATCGACAATATATCGAGTATGACGACACAAACACGTTGAAAACCACGACATACATACACACGACCAGAGTGTATGAGAAACTTTACCGCATGGCTTTGGGGAGTTGTTTCATCTTGGACTTGATTTTGAACGCCGACGGTTCATCCGCTTTGATGACTGTGCGCCGCTCGCGCTTGCCCATGCCGTCGGCCAGTGTGCGCGCAAACTCCAAGTCTGCCAGGCGCTTGATTTCTTCCATGCGCTCCTTTTCCTTGGAGTAATCCACGCCATCAATCACTTGGCACCCCCCACCGTCCAATTTAAAGTTGAGCAGGTCCCCCTTGTCGTGCGCTTGCAGTTTCGAGTTCATTTCTTCAGTCCGCGCTTCGCCTTTGGCCAAGATCGCGTCAATGTCTTCGTCCGTGATCATCGAGTCGTCGGTTGCGCGAAACTACACGACGAAAACACTCTCTTTTGACATTTCCATCCACCGTGGTAGTAGTAGTGATATAGTGATAGTTATAGTAGGAGTAGTAGTATACTAGTAGTGCTATGGTGTGGTTTGCTTGTTTGATTTTCGAAGATGGAATCGACACGCGATTTTGGGATGGACAAACAGACACAACAAGAATTGCAGCCAATCAATCATCCGCAATTACACAAAACACGCAATCCTGTCATCGAATGTGGCCAACTCGAGTCGACACTGGGGCCCTCAGCATTATATATATATATATATATATATATATATATAATATAGGGATGAATAAAGAACCCCGGCAAAGCCAATCAAATCACGTCTCTGGTTGAATTTCTGCCAATGCAAACTTTTGATTATATGGAGCAAAACCTGATATATACGAAACACTGATATATACAAAACATTGTATCGTTTGTACAGACTTAACGTCAAATGGGATTGGCGAATTCACAAGTCCAAATTTGGATGCAATGGCCCAAACATGCAAGTGAAACATCAGTGGAAACCACTCGCCCAAGTGAAATAATCGTGACATATAGTAGAATCAAGTGCATTTTCTGAGCTATACTAGCATATTCACAGATACACACATGATTTTCACGGCTTTAATCAATCAAAAACGTGCATCCCACGAATATACGCCAGTAATCAACATACCACTTCGTCCGCGCCAAACCGAATCATGTCGAGCATGTCGTTCTTGGTCAAGTTCTTTTGCTTCTCTTGGAGTCGGCCTTGCTGCACGACCATCGCGTCCAGCTTGAGCTTTTGCTGCGCGCGCTCGATGATTTTCTCCTCGACCGAGTTCGCCGTGACAAATCGGTACACATTCACCTCCTTTTTCTGGCCAATGCGATGCGCTCGATCCTACAACATGGGTTTTATGTTCATGTTGTTTACCAAGTGTAATTTTTTTTGCAGAATCACATCAATAATATATATATATGTACCTGGGCTTGGAGGTCGGCTTGGGGGTTCCAGTCGGAATCGTACAGAATTACAATGTCTGCCGTGTACAAGTTGATTCCAAGCCCCCCCGCGCGAGTACTGAGCAAAAAGATAAACTTGGACGAATTCGGAGCGTTGTAGTCTTCAATCGACGATTCGCGGTCGTCGTACGATGTATTGCCGTCGATGCGGCAGTACCTATTAAATACATATATAAGAATCAATACCTCCGAAACTACCACAAATATGTACATAATATAAACCTAGTCCATTAAGCAGGCTTTATAAACCAGTTTATAGAATATATATTATATATATATATATGCATTCAAAACCTTGGAGGGATCCAAACACATGGCAACAATTAGCAACCCATTACATGTCAGTACTTGCCACAGAAAATCGCAATACAAGCTATTTCTAAAAGAACTTGGCTTTATATGATTATAAAACACCTGTTCAAGCGAAATCGAGCATGCAAGTCGAAGATGACCAGTTATTCTACATATATATCTTATAAAATATAACACTCTAACGTTCACACACAGGTCGTTCCATCGATCTCTACCGAATCTGCATCGTCACAGATCATTCAAATTCACCACAACACTGTGTCCCATATATATAATAAACAAGAAGCAGACGTACCCGTAAGCGCGCATGCGACAGAAATCCTCCATGATGTCCAAGACGCGGGTCATTTGGCTGAAAATGAGCACGCGGGACCCACGGGCCTTCAATCGCTTGAGCAGTTTGTCCATAAGGATCATCTTGCCGCAGTTGTCCACGACGTGGTCGCCCAGCGGAGGCAGCGACCGGTCTTCTTGGCCTTCAAACAGGTACGGGTGGCCGCAACACTTGCGCAATTGCCTACCATTTCACACGAATAACATTGATATAATATTGTGTTTCTTGTACACTGGAGCGACATGGGAATAATCGACACACAACCAAATAAACATGAACACAAGCATCATCGGCAGAAGAATCGAGCCAATCAGATGGCAGGAAACCGTCGTCACCGACATCGAATTAGTGTGTGACTTCAATTAGTGTGATGATACCAATCATCACACAGGACAACTCTGTTCCATACAAAAAGTTCATAAACTTTACAAAACCAATATTTTTAAACAATACGAGTGGTACGTTTCTTTTTTCAATAAAAAATACAATTAATCATCCTAGCTATACTATATATATATATATAT